CCCCCCCCCCGGGCAGACGGCGCCCCGCCCACGACCAGCACTTGGCCCGCGCGGAGGCCGCAGGGCCCTGGGGGACAGAGACAGGTGGCTGAGCGGGGAGGCGCCACCGCATCCTATGGGTTCGCGCGAGGGGGTGGACCCTGGGGACTGCGCCCACCTGCCCTGCGCCAGCCCCAGGATCACGTCGCAGAGGGCCCAGGCGTCTGAGACGGTCCCTGCGTGGTCCGCACATGCCCGCCCCCTGGCTAGTAAGTAGTGGAGAGCAGCCTGGTGGTCCCGGGACCTGCGACAGGGAAAGGACAAAGTGGCTTTTCCACGCTGTACCCTGAGTGTCCCGGGCAGGCCTTGACTGTCGGGGACTCACTTTTGGCTGCATCCGCGTCCGCTGGTGCTGCAGAAAGGTGACATAGTGAGCAACCCAGGATCTCTACGCCCCTATCCCACCCCCAGATGGGCCCAGCAGCGCCCTTGAGCTCACTGGTCTTCTCAGGTCCCACCCGCGACAGCAGCAAGGCCGTGAGCAACAGGAGCATCCCGCTCCTGGCGACCGTGGCCTCCTCTGCTGCACCTCCTTCCTGCCGCTTAGGCGATGTGGCGCCCCCTGGGGGAGAGGGGCGGGGCGGGCCCTGGGCGGGCCCTGGACACCCCGTCCTCTCGCCTTGACCGCCTGTGCCCTACGATACCTGCAGACCAAGTGTCCTGGCGTTCTGCTCCTACAAGGGCAGGTCACCCACAGTACCACTTGACATGACCCGGCAGCCAGTGAACCCCAACACAAAGAAGGGGTTCTTTGTGCAGCTTAAGAATCCTAGCTGTCTTCTCTGTTGCCCTCTTTGCTCATGACCTGGCTGGCCTTCTGTCAGGAGGCCCCAGAAAGCCCATTAGCATGTCCTCATGGTAGGCCCCTTAGGAGCCAACAACTGTGTCACCATGTTGGAGGTTTGATCCTTTCAGGACAAACAGAATGAAGCTGGGTCTGTTTTGCCCATGGACAGGGCTTGGAACCATCTACTCTGCCTAATGCCCTGCAGGGGGCCTCATATGAGTGTTCCTGGCCTCAAGGGGCTGTCCTCTTCTGGGAGCAGTTAGGGGCCAGTGTACCAGTCGGCACTCAGTTTCAGTGTGAATGGACAACTAATCAGGTGTCCACATGGCCATCCCGTGGGCCAGTGTGTCTCTAGCTGGTTTCACTTTCAAGACTCCACCTTCTCAAGGTCACTGTCTGTACAGTGAAAGGACATATGTCAAGTCATCCAGAACTTCTGGCATTTCATTCTCCAGCAAGGACCTGTGACTGCTCAAGGGCGAAGTGCCCACCAGGGGAGGGAGTACAGCCTTGGAGTCAGGGGTTCATTGGGTTTGGACAGGGAGGCATGAGGACCCTAATGGCTGACATAGTTACTCAGCTGCCAATTCCTCCACTCATCCACCTGATTCCTTGTAGCCCCATCTCCACCAGGAGTCACATTGTGAGCAGAACCAGCATGGCAGAACACTCCAGTAATAGGAAGAGAGTATTCTTAGATGGGATATTCCACGGGCTCCTGTTACTTCCCTGGAGCTGGTCCAGGGCCAGTGCTTCCTTGGACTGTGGTGGATTTGACCATCCTGATTCTGCTGAATTCATCACATACTACAGAATACCCCGAGAGCAGAAGTGTCAAGAACCCCACATGCACCAAAAGGGTCTGTTGTAATAAGCTGAACTGACCCCAGGGGAAACCAAGATCATCCATGGAGCAGGGGCCAAATGGGCAACTTCCAACAAGTATCCCTCAGAAAGACCCAAGAGGTGTTTGTAAGCATTAAGCAAGAATTATATGGGGGGAAAAAGGAGACAGCAAGAGGGTAGAAATTTAAAATATTGCTACTGAAATAAAATATTTTAGTCTGGGTACTGCAGCACATGCCCATAATCCCACCACTTGGGAGGCTGAGGTAGAGAGATTGCCAAATTGACAGGACAGCAAGGTCAAGGTTAACTTTTCCAGACTACATAACAACACCATGTCTCAGAAAACAAAAACAAAACAAGCAAACAAAAACGAAAATGAAACACTTCAGCAGAAGGGCTGAATAATAAAATGCACATAGCCAAAGAATGAACTAGAAAACCTGAAGAGAAAGTAAAGAAAAACCTCAGAATTTAGAGTAAAAGTGTTAAAGGGAGTTTGGGCGTGGTGTTGTGCATGCCTGTCATCCTAGCACTCAGGAGCTGAGGCAAGAGAATCCCTGTGAGTTTAAGGCCAGCCTGAACTACATAGCAAGAGCTTGTCTTAAAAAACAAGACAAAACAAAAATTGTTAAAGGGGTAATACATGAGAGGAAGTAAAATGTTGGATATTGCTCTTGGTTCAAATTGGGAAATACAGGATGTTTTTGACTCCCCTTTGTCAGTATATATCTAATTTTTTCCACAAAAAAGTATTTAAAACAGAACAAAATACACAATTGGGAAAAGACAAAGAGCAAGCCAGATTGTAGATTCCTATGAGCAGCATATAAGAAGAGTGGGAGTGTTACAAGGGGAGTGTTAGTGTATCGACCCCATGCGCTCTGGGCATCTGCATGCACCAGGACAAAATGTCCCAGATTGTGCAGTCTGAATATGCTGAAGCACTTCCTGTACTTTGCAGATTCCCAACACATCAGCTGAAACCAGGGAGGTGTTGAGAACCCTCAGATGGAGGTCTTGAATGCTGGCTGCGTTTCCCAGGGAAAGACTTGTCCAGTGCCACAGATATTTATCTACTCAGTACCACTCTCTCCAGGCGACCTCCTGCCTGTGAGCACAGAAAGGGTTGCTCATGGGTGTGAGTGGTGAGGACCAGCTCATTGATGGGGATGACAGGGGCAATGGTGATAAGGACTGTTGTGATGTCTTCAAGTAAGATTTGCTGGTCAGGGGCTAGTTTGGATCATTTAGCAGTTCTCCAACACAATTTCTGAGACCAAATTAGAACACGGTCTCAAGCAGACTGTATGTGCCATTATATCCAGAAGGCACCCTTGATACATGAAACTCAATTTCTTTTTCTTTTGTAACCAAAAAAGTCCTTTGTATGGTTAATGGAAATGTTTTGCTATGTTCCAATATTCCAGCAAGTGTATTCCAGAATATACAGTCTGCCAAAAAAACTTATACACACTTCAACAGTTCACTGTACTAATAAATATCTAGGAGCTAATAGCCACCACTTTGAGCACTTTTATTTTTTTTCTTGAGGCAGGGTCTTGAACTCACTTTGTAGCCCCGGCTGGCCTCAAACTCACGGTGAACCCCCTGCCTGAGCCTCCCAATGGGATTATAGGTGTATACAACCACACCCAGCTTGAGCACCTCTTGTAATTGTAGAGACCAAATGTAACTTGTATTAATCTCAGGTTGTCTCGATAAACTTAGTATTAAAATATTTATATGTTTTTCTTTTTTTGATGTATATATTTTTGCTGAATGTATATTCTGGCAAATGCCAGTGTAGTTGGGCAAAGAAATGTATTTCTAAATATTTTCCATTTTAATATAAAAATACTGTGGTAAAAAATGGGACACAGGAATAAGGCAGATGTGGAAACTTTAATATCAGATAAAACAGGATCCAAGGCTAGCAGTCTTAGGTCTGAAGTATGAGGATATGTTCCATTGATAAAATCGTGCTCTTGGCTGGAAATGTAGCTCAGAGGTAGAAGAGCATTTGCCTAGCATTTTTAAGGCCCTGGGTTTGATCCCCAGCGCTGAAGAACAATGCTGTGCCATATGGAAAGATGGGAAGAGGCCAGGGCTCCCTGAGCCTGCACAACCTCTGTGGGGCCCTGATCCCGAGTGCCAGCCCCACGGCTGCCCTCTGGTGGTGCCTGCTCTGATGGACATCAAGGTGCCTGCTCTGTGCAGGGGTTGGGACCCAGTTTGAGATCCTGCTGAGATCCAGTCTCCTGGGCTGCTTTACCCCTTGGAATAGTTTATCTGTCCCACCCCAGGCGTCCTCACCCACCTTAGGCTCCCAGAACCCCAGGCTGTGACATGAATGGCTGCAGGGCAGAGTGGGTTATGCTTGGCCAAGATGCCTCAGCAGGCCCTGGGCTACAGCTCTGGCCCACCCATCCCCTTCCACTGCCCAGGGTGCCAGGTGCTGCAGCCCAGAGAAGAAGGGAGAAGTTTCTTGGCTTTGCCCTAGGGGTTCAGGCAGGTCCTCCGCCCCGAGTCCCAGTTCCTCTGCTACACTGTGGAGGTTGTCACAATGCCCGGGAGCCAAGTGGAGCACGTGTGTGTCCTGTCACTGGCACAATGCCAGGCACAGCAGACATTTTGAGGGTGCCCATTAAAAGGTGGGTGTTGTGGTTACTGAGATTCCAGGGCCAGGGCAGGAGAAACCCTTGGGGTGGGGCCCAGGTCCCCAGAATATGGGGAGCTCAGGACCTCTGTGCCCAGGAGTTGTGTTTGTGGGAGTCGGCTTAGGCTTCAGCCAAATCCAGAGGAAAAGTGTGAAGGCTCAGCTCCACCCAAGACCCGCCTAGGTGCCCACCTGCCCCTACCATCAAGTCCTTCCTTCCTTGGTGTCTTAGAAGTCTGACTCCAAGACCAGCTGGGATCGTGGATGTGGGTGCATCAGGGACCTGGCCCTCCCCACTATGTGTCCCGGAAAGGTGGGAGAACCTTTAGAAGGAGAGAGCCCTCAGCTCTCCCACCCAGTCTCTCCTCTGTGAGTGTCTGTGGCATAGACCTGGATTCAGATAGGATTACGCAGAGTGGGGGAGGAAGGAGCTACAAGAGGCTACACAGACTGTGTGTTTGGGGGCAGATCCAGAGAGAGAATGGGTCCCACCTCTATGCAGCCAAACTGCCTGGCCAGGTGCTGTTAGGAACCCAGGTGCCTCATCCACACTGCCTGGCCTAATGGTCACACAGCTCCAAGTGACTGTAACAGGAGAGGGTGAGTCTGAGTGCTTTAGAAGATGGTAAGGATTTGTGGGTATAACCCGGGTCACTGTTTCTGTGCAGCCTGAGGCTTCCTTAAGACTCCCAGTGTTTGGGTTAAAGCTGGGTATCTAGGGCCGGGGATTTAGCTCAGTGGTTTCATCACCTGCTGCGCAAGCGCAAGGACCCGAGTTCGATCTCCGGTACCAAAAAAAAAAAAAGCTGAGTATCTAGCTTGGAGCCACATTCCACCCTGGTGGCCCAAGCCTGCTGTGGAGACAGACCTGGGGCTGTCGAGGAAAGCAGAAAAGCATGGGAGTGAGGAACAGCTCCCACTGTGGGTCCCTAAGTGCTACCAGATATAGGAATCACATGTGAAGTGGTCTTTCCAAAATGACCAGGGCACACCACTTCCACCCTCAGGCCTATGGGCATCCCCCAGTGCCTCATACTTGGATTTGGGGGCACTGCTGGAGCTGGAAGGAGGAAGTAAGGGCTTGGCTAGAAGGTGACCTCTGCAGCTGTGAAGAAGGCAGTGATGTTGTCTCTGGCTAGCATGTGTGTTTCATGGAATTTCAGATGGTGGTTCTTGAGCTATTTATCCACTGCTGACAGCATCAGCATTGTCTACCCTCTGGGCCGGGGATTTAGCTCAGTGCTTCCACTGCCTGCACCAAAAGCGCAGGAACCCAAGTTCGATCCCTGGTACCAAAAAAAAAAAGAGTAACATCATCCACCCTCTTCTTCAGGGCCCTCCAAAAGGGAGGGTCCTGAGAAGATGTGCTCATTTCTTGTTACACATGCCAGACTTCATTTTTTTAAAACAACATGTAGATTCATTTTCTGAAAAAAGAAAGAACAATGTGCATCACTCCTAAGACTGATTACAGGAAAATGAAAAAGGAGAGTGGCAGGTGACATAAATCTCCGTGGATAAGGCATAAAAACCTTTGGGAAAGGGGCAAGTACTTCCTGAGGGAATTGTCCCAATGAGTCTCCCCCACAAGGACCAGCAATCACTTGAAAAATATGAACAAAGACACCAACTGTCTGCAGAAAGCAAACAGACAAAAATCTGTTTGTGACAGTTCTGCATCCACGCATATTCTCAGCTAAAACTCCTGAGCCAGCTCCTCAACCTTCACAGGCGTGCCATCAGATGCTTCCAGCTTTAACTAGCTTCTGTTGATGGCGGCTGTCCTGATGGAAAGGTGACTCAGGGATCGAACTCTGGACCTTTCGCTTGGGAGGCAGGCGGCAGCACCACTGAACTAATAAATCCCCAGTGGGCCGGGGATTTAGCTCAGTGGTTCCACCGCCTGCCTTGCAAGTGCAAGGACCTGAGTTCGATCCCCGGTACCAAAATCAATCAATCAATCAATCAATCAATCAATCAATCCCCAGTCCTGCTGATGCAATATTCTTAAATACATCAGTATTGTTTTACAGATTCTCACATCACCACATCTTCCTGGCAGCTTGCTGAATTTTAATCTTTGTGGTAAAATTGTTGACAATCCAACCAGAGCCTTCAAAAGAAATTTAGAAGTAGGTTGTCTTGTTATTGGGACCTGTGATTATTTGAAGAATGAATATTAAAACAGGACCATATATAATTTATAGGCCATTTTATTACTTATACAATTATCCATATTCATAGAAGAGAACAGTAACGGAAAATATTTGTAACAGTAATCAAACACTTTTTATTTTGAATATGTATGCATAAATACATAAATATAATGTATTTATGTATATTTGATATCTCTTAAGTGAATTTAACCTAATATCTACTGCTGTTAAACAACCCAGTTGAGTAGCAGAGAGTAGAGTCAGTTTGGTATTTGACGTATTCCAGCGGTATGCCCTGTGAGATATTTATGTATTTAAACAAGTTCTCACTATGTAGTTCAGGCTGGCCTTGAACTCACTATGAGGTGCAGGCTAGCCTCAACCCATGGCAATGCCTCTGCCTCAGCCTGCTGAGTGCTGAGATTACAGAAGTGTGCCACTACACCCAGTTTAAATAAATTATTTAGGCTGGTTATGGTGGCACACACCTGTAATCTCAGCACACTGCTGACACACACAGTTGATTCTGCAGGTATTATACAGTTTGGGAAAGAAAGTGGGTGAAGTCTTGGGCCAAATTAGTATGTATCATATCAAGCCAGTAATCTTTCAAATGATGGATATTTTGGGAAATATCAGTATTACTAAGTGATGACAGCCAAACCTATGGCAAACACTATAATGAAATACTAAAAAGTACAACTTTAAACAAAAGGGGAAATGTTCCATAACTAATGTGAAAAACAAACAAAAAACATAATTCTTATTCCTTCAAAATGATGTGTCTCTTAACCTTGGCAAAATGAAATTAAAAACATTCTAAAAGGGAGGGTCCCTGTAGAAACCACCAAGGTGTTACCACTCAACGGAGAGTTCTTTTGATCCATTCACATACAAATCACTAATTGGCAAAGTGTAGTTCTTTTATGTTATCAGCTCTGCGCTTTGAATGCCAGTGCTGATTAGCTCTTAGGCTTGGCAACCATCCTTATTACTCGGAGCATCATCTACTGAGAGGCCTGAGAGTTCTTTGATCATCAGAGATGGCAGCTTTTAGCAGTTCTCTGTTGCTCTCATTCTCTGGCTGCTCACTGCCTGCAGGATTATCAGCCACAGACACTGGCCACGTTCACTGTCAGGACCTTTGGTGTTACTCGCTACTAGAGTACTAGCTCAGCATGCCCTAAACCAGATCAAAATAAAAAATATGCCATCTGAAAGGGGATTTATTAGGACTTATGTTGTAGCATAAGAGGGAGAACAGTGCACAGACTGATCTGCTAAAGGTATGGGGAGGCTACTTACATAGTGAGGCAGGGGGAGGCAGGCTTGCACATGCGCAGTGTCAGACCTGACTGAGGAGGGCTGCAGAGGGCCTGCTAGGTGGAGTCAACTGAGACAAGTGCCACACTGAGGCTTGCTTCGATCAAAGCAAATGTTTCCGTGTGTGGCAGTGTGGGGTCTGATGCAGCCAGGCCAGATGCAAAGAGTTTGAGGCAGCCACAGAATAAAAACAGTACCTCTTGGGGAATGTTGGCCCCACTCTCCTGTCTCCCTGGGCAGGGACACTGGCTGTCCAGGCCCAATGGTGCTGTGCCTCGGTTTGTCTTTCTTATCTCTACTCTGGAGAAAGAGGGCAAGGGGTACCATGTGCCCACCTGCTCTTTTCACCAGAGCACGCTGAGGCTCTTTCAGCTCTGCAATTGAAAGAGCAAGGGCCCAAGTAGGCCTGCTGTTCCTTGTTGCTCCAGCAGCCTGGTGTGACATCTAAGAGTGGGGCCCCTCAGGCCATTTGTGAGTGCACTGAGAAGGGGCTGTTAGGGGACCTTCCTCTGAGAGGCCAGGCAGGGAAGGGGCACAAGAGACCCTCCTACAGCAGATGGATGGAGCACAGTGCAGGGTGGGGCAGGAGCAGCTCTGCAGGGTGTAGTAATATGGGGATAGGGGAGCCCAGAGCTGGCAGAACTTATCCCGGAGTTTCTAGATCTCTATGGGGTGACATGGGGGAGGGAAGAGGGGCTGCAGTGCACAATGCAGAGCTCACTCTCTGCGGGTAGCCCTGCGGGTTTGTGGTAGTAAACCCCTCTCCAGCCTGGCTCCTAGATGAGGCCAGGTGCTTCAGGGCCGTGCACCTTCCTGGAAGTAGGGCTGTGGGTGGCTTAGCCAGCAGATTTGGCTGGAGATTCCTCAGAGCACAGATTCCCTTTTCTGTGCTCAAGGCACTTAGGGACCTTGCAGAACTCAAATTTGCTTTAACTGTGCTTTAACATTGCCTGCCTGGTCAGGTCCCTTGGACACGCTGAGGCTGGGGCTGGAGGCTCTGATTGGGACAAATGGGTTGGATGCCATCTCACAGTTCCAAACTCACCATCTTGGCTGGGTGTGGTGATACACACTTGTAATCCCAGCACTCAAGAGGCTAAGGCAGGAGAACTGCCACAAATTTGAGGCCAGCCGGGGCTACATAGTGAGTTCAAGGTCAGTCTGAACTATATAGTGAGACCCTGCCTCAAAAAACCAAGCCAAACCAAAAATCAACAAAACAAAACAAAAAACCCCAAACAACTCCAAACCAAATCCATCATCTTACAGTGCTGCTGCAGCTGGAGAGGCAATGACAGCCTCCCTAGGGTCAGCTCCAGCTCTGCAGGGCCCACATGCTAGGTCCACCCTGCATCCATGGGAGGGTCTCAGAAGACATTGCCCAGCCCTGGTTTTGTGCCTCAACTGCCCATTATGGTAACCTCTTCACTCATGCAAACCCCTCCCTCTGCCAGTTTCCCCACTTCCTCATCCATGCTTCCTGAGGTCACCTCCCAATAAACTGCCTGCTGTCAAGTCCTGATCCTAGTTTGGCCTCTGGGAGACCATGGCAGAAGTGTCTGGTGCTTTTATGATAGGGCACACTAGGATGGCACTGACATTCTAGTTTTCCCAGTGCCCAAGACAAAGCTTTGCTCTTCCTCCCGTAAATTATGTTTCTGATTGAACTAATTAGAGATAGTTCTGTTTGCTGTTCAACCAAAACTTGGCTAATGCAGAAGGGTAGACAGGGTTTGGGAGTGCAATCTAGGGCTGGACTGGGTAGAGGTGGACAGGAAACTGTTCTGCTGAGGTCAACTCCAACATGTTTATTACCAAAAGGATAGAGGAGGATCAGGGCCTGATTCAGCAGATGACCCTAACCCCATGGGTCAGGTGGGCTCAGGTGGAGCCCACAAACCGGGTAGTGCAGAGCAGAGTGAGGAGCAACAGCAGTAGGGAGAAGTCTAGCCCGGGTGAGCCATCATGGGCTACTGTCTTCTGGATCCAGTGGATGTGCTGGCTGATGTTGGTGTAGACTCCAGGCTGATTGGGGCGACCACAGCCCACTCCCCAGCTCACGATTCCAATCTGATACCACACCCCATCCAGGTCGCAAACCAAGGGTCCTCCTGAGTCTCCCTGGGGAGTAGCATGGGTGAGCCCAGTCTGGGTTGGGGCTGGGGGTTTCAGCAGAGAGGCTGGGAGAGCTGGGGTCTGTGGAGCTGTCCCCTCCTCTGGCAGTGACAGAGTCTCAGTTTCTACATCTGCAAAGTGGGGACAGAGTCTTCCCACTCCCAATGTCAAGAGATCAAAGGGGGTTGCTGTCAGGTTTAGGGATGGGAGCAGTGGGATGTGAGGCCCAGAAGGCCACCGTGGTGGGGCTGGGGTCACTTACAACGCAGGTATCCTTGCCACCTGCAGGATCACCAGCACACACCATGTCTCCCCAGATGGCCACACCGAAGTCTGATCTTTGGTACAGGTGGTTACACATGGCTTTGTTGATGACGCTGACCTGCACTTCCTGGAGAGTATAGGGAGCTGGCAGATCTGGAGGGTGGACAGAAACAGGCAACTTGATCCTCCTCTCTGGGGAGGGATAGGTTGTAGGGTGGCAGTGTCCTCGGGGCACCTAGGACATCATACTACTACTGCTACTACTTCTTCATCTTCACCTTCCTCTTTCTCTTCCTCCTCCTCCTCCTCTTCCTCTTCTTTTTCTTTCCATACTGGGAATTGAAGCATTGAATCCAGGGGCATTGCACTAAGCTACACCCCCAGCCCCTTTTGATACTTTATTTTGAGACCAAGTTACCCAGCCTGGCTTGGTGTGGTGGCGCATGCCTGTAATCCCAGCACTCAGGGAGCTGAGGCAGCAGGATTGCTTCAAGTTCAAGGCCAGCCTGGGCTACATAGTGAAACTGTTTCAAAACAAACAAACAAAAACAAAAAAAGTTACCCAGTCTGGTCTCAAACTTGAGATCTTTCTGCCTCAGCCTCCCCAAACAGGACATCATGAGTGATGAATATCACAGAAGGACCCAGTGGGTGGACATGCTATTAGCACTCTACCTTGAGACTCAGTTACCCTGTCTGCAGAATACACACAAAGCCCCTGGCAGAGCCAGCAGAGAGATTCCTTAGCCAAAACATGCCAAGGGGGAGAGTCTACGGCAACTGAGATGGCTTATGATGAACACAGCCTTGCCAAGGCACCCAGGTAGCAGAATGGAGTGCGGGGCAGCCCATTGGATGCATTCTCCTTGGTAACACCTGGGCACTTTCAGGGTTTGCAAAAAAAGTTGTACAAAATGCTCTTAGGGCTTCTGATCACCTCTGGAAAAAGTGGGCATCAGGACCCACTCCCAGGTAAGGAAAGAGTTGGAGGAAGAACCCCTTTCCAAAAGGCACCAAGGAAGTGTCAGAGCCTGATGTGAGTCAGGGGACGCGGTGTTCACCTGACTCTGACAAGGGTCAGAATGACAAGGGCCACCCTATGAAGTTAGCACTTTTACCACCCTATTTACAGATAAGGAAATTGAGGCATAGATGAAGTAAGTGCCTTGCCCAAAGTCCCCCAGCTCACATCTGCCACAGCAAAAGCTCCTGCAAGGCCAAGGGGCTCCAGATGTGCCTCCTACCTGCTCCCCAAGCACTAAGAATAACAGTGAAAGCCCCAGGCTTTCAGAGGGTACTGTCAGCCCCAGGCCAAGGAGGGAGGCCAGCAGAGGGGCCCTGGCAGGGTCCCTTGGCTCACACCTATTCATCCTTTGCAGCAGAGGCCCCTTATAGGTCAAAGGAATAGACCCCTTTCCTAAGAGGAGGCATATTTAGTGTTGGGTTCACAATTTCCTTGCCAATTCCAGGTGTGGAACTGGGGACATCTCTTAGACTGTCTGAGCCAATGAGCCCTGGTTTCTACTCCATTTACTAGTTCTAGGCCTTGGGCAACTTTCATGATTATCTCACTTATCTTTATCTGTAAAATGGGGATAAAAACATTCCCAGTTTTGTTTAGGTTGTTTTTGTTTTGTTTTGGAGACAAGGTCTTACTATATAGTTCAGGCTGGCCTTGAACTCACTGTGTAGCCCAGGCTGGCCTCAAACTTGCAGCAATTCTCCTGGCTCAGCCTCCCAGCTTCACTTATAGGTAAGCTCTAGTGAGAACAGAGCTCTTGTTCTGCTCTCACCAGGGTACCCAACTTGGGACTGTGTTCAGTGAACCGTGTACAGGCACAGAGTCACACAGGTGACAAGGGGACGACACAGGAGGAAGCCAGGCTGTTCCAGGCACAAAAATGTATCCCATCTCAGGGACTAGAAGCCCCAGGGCACCTCAATGAAGGCTGTGCCCAGCACTTCCAGGGGATTCTTGTGCCATGAGATAGGCAGGTGTTGGATTGTGCTGCCCAAGGACTTCAGGGGGTTTCAATTGTGAGCCAAGGTAGGAGAAGGATAGCTTTTTTTGTTGGTAGTAATTTTGTTTTTCTTTCCTGATACTGGGGATTGAACCCAGGGCCTTCCAACTGAGCTATATCCTAGTCCAATTTTTTATTTTTCTTTTTGAGATAGGGTCTTGCTAAATCCCTAAATTGCCCAGGCTGGGCTCAAATTTGTGGTTCTCCTGCCTCAACCTCCCAGAGTGCTGCAAGTTTGAGGCCTGGTGCTGTGACACTAGGGCCACCAGGCTTGGGAATTTTGAGGAGAGAGGCAGCCAGAATTGGGCTGGTACGGAGGAGCTAGAGTGGGCCTTATAGATGGGTGGCTGCAGAAGTGGGAAGATATATGAAAAAAGCAACACCAAGGCCCTTCCACAAGAACTCCATCTCTGCTGCCCTGGCAAGACTTGATGCTGCTGCACCTCTGCCTTAGGCCACCAGGTCTGCAAGGGAAGGGAACTGGGTGTTTGATCAGGTGGGAGTGAGAGAAGGGGAGAGGATGGGTGGATGCTAAACAAGTGCTCAGAGGGGCTCAGCAGTGCCCCAGAGACCAAGAAGGGGCTGCTGGGTCTGATGTGGCTGGGGCAGGGGACCAGGATAGTGCCCATCCTCTGTGCCCATCTCACTTTTCTCCTCTTCAATGTCCCCCCAGCCGGTTACCCAGCAGTCAGTCCAGTTCTCAAACTTGGACATGGAGGCTGAGATGCAGATGGGCTGGATGTTCTTATTGTAGGCGACAGGGGAGACCAGCTTTAGCAGGGCGATGTCATAAGGAGACACCCCCGTGTATTTGGGGCTCAGAATGATCTTATCCACTTGGTAGCGATTTAAGTAGGCTTCCATGTTCCAAAAGGATGGCGCTGAAGTCAGCTCACCAAACTGGATGGTCCACTCATCAGGATTAAGGGCTCTGGCAGGAAAGAGAGGGAGCTCAGGGTCCTGGGAGTAGGGCTGGCCACCTGGGCACACCTACCTCCCCCCCGGGTGTCCTGTGGGGCTGTACTACTTGCTCATCTTGGACACCATCACCAAGTCCCTCTCGTGGGCCAAAGGGACTCCTGTGGAATCCTCAGAGCCCAGACAGGCCACAACCAAAGTCTCCACTGATGGGCACTTTTGAGGGAGGAGGAGAGGATGGCTCCCCTTAATAATCCTCACCTTCCACAGCTGTCCTAAGGATAGGGAAATGGCCCCAGTCCTTCAGGGGACCTCTGCGGCCCATGATGGACAAAGTGTGTGGGGGTTAGCCTGGGACTCCAGGCAAAACTGAGAGAATGAGTTGGACTCCAGAGAGCTTTGGTGGCCAGGCTGGGGGCCCCCCACACCTGCCCCAACCCAGCTGTGCCCCGACTCTTGTGATATAATCTGCTCCTCTGGGGAATTAGTGAGAACTCATTTGGGTTTACCCAGGGGCAGAGGAGCCTAGGGCACTGCACACCACCACGTGGGAATGTGTGCCCAGGCCAGGGCCTCAGGGGCCGGAGGTCACTGCCTGCCCCCCACCCCGGACTCACTCTTTAAAGCAGTGGGCGGCGGTGAGTACCCAGCGGCGGCTCAGCAGGCTCGCCCCGCAGCTGTGGGTGCCCCATCGACGGAGGCTCCCTTGCCACGGCCAGCGCCCCAGCTCCGAATCTTCTCCACCCACCACGCGTGAGGGGATGGTCCGGTGGCCACAGGGACCTGGCATGGCTAGACAGACCTGGGGCTGAGTCGCGTGGGACTGGCCTACGCTTCCAGAGAAGGGACCTGCATCTCAGCGACGCGCGCAGCAGAGGACCCAGACCCTGGCGGACCGCGTGTGTCCGAAGACGCCCTCCCGGGCCCTGTTACTCTCCAGCATTAAGGAGTACTCAGACCAGGGGCGGGGGTGGGGGTGGGGGTAAATTGGGGTGCCCTTGGCACTTAGACACGGGCTCCCTGAGCAGGCCTGGAAGGTCGGAACTCACCCTCCATTGCGCCTTCCTCCGACGGTGCTGGGGGAAGGTGACAGGATGAGCGCCCCGGACCTCCATGCCCCCTACCCTCCTCCCCCCACTCCCCCGCGCGACCGGAGGCGCCTTTGAGCTCACCCGGCTTCCCAGGTCCCACCTGCGATAGCGGCAAGGCTGTGAGCAGCAGGAGCATCCCGCCCCTGGCGACCATGGCTCCTCTCCTGCACCTCCTTCCTTCCTGCGACTCAGGCGAGGTGGCGCCTCCTGCGGGAGAGGGGCGGGGCGGGGCCTGGACACCCCCTCCTCCCAGCTTGACCTCCTGCGCCCTAGGGTGCTTGGAGACCAAGTGACGTGGCGTTCTGCTGCTACAAAGGAAGGTCACCCGCAGTACCCTTTGATATGGTCCAGCAGATAGGGGACTAGAAAAATCCTGTTCTTTAGGTCGGGTGCGGTGTCACGTGCCTGTAATCCCAGCACTATGGGAGGCTGAGGGAAGATCCTAGTTCGAGCCCAGTCTGGATAATTTAGTAACTTGGCCAGACTCTGTCTCAAAATAAAAAAGTAAGAAAAGGGAGCCGGGGATGTAGCTCAGTGGCTCGGCACCTGCCTGGCAAGTACAAGGTCCTGAGCTCAATTCCTGGTACCAGAAAAAAAAAAAAAGTAAGAAAAAGGCTGGAGATGTAGTCAGTGTGAAGGCCCTGGGTTCAATCCCCACTATCAAGAAAAAATAAATAAAATCCTGTTGTTTTCTGTGGCCCAGGGGTGCTGGCTGCCTTCCCTTGTTTCGACTTTTCCTCCATCCAGGACTTCTTCCAGGACAAAGTTCCTGACCCTCAGCCAGTAGTCCCCAGAAAGCCCATTGGTGAGTCTTCCCCGGTGTTTAGCGATCTGAGGCCTAGCTCTTCGGGGCTGAGGTAGGAACATATTCATTCCTTCCCCAGACTTTCTTGGGAAAGTGAATGAGAGTCTTGGATTTTGTCCCTGTCTGAGGTGGCAGCTGTCCCCATGTTATAGTTTAGTTTTAAAATATCCCACAAAAAGTCTTATGTCCTCAGAGATGTGGCTTTGGAAGGTGATTGGACCATAGGAGTGCTATCTACTGATGAGTTCATAGTTAGAATGCATTAGGAGGCTGGGCCTGGCTGGAAGAGGCCTGTCACTGGGTGGTCCCCTCCCTGCTCCTCCCTTCTCTTTCTGCTTCCTGGCTACCAGGGGTTGAAGAGCTTTCCTCAGCTGTGCTCTCCCACCGTGCTGTTCTGCCTTGGAGCCAGTGAACTTTATTTTTTAAATTTTGTTTTGTTTTGTTTTGGGGGAGGGTTCTCCTTCAAAATAATTTTAATACTAAGGATGCAAATATCTGCAAATGGAAAAAGTAGTTCATCTGACCTACTGGGTGTCATGGGACATAACTGAATGGGAACAACAACACCAACAGCTGGACTTCAGGTGGAACTGAACTATTTATTTTATTTATTTATTTACTTTTTTCCAGTACCGGGGATTGAACTTGGGACCTTGTGCTTGCCAGGCAAGTGTGGTGCCACTGAGCTACAACCCCAGCCCCCAGAACTGTACTATTTAAAATTAAGTTTCCAGAAAAAATAGGCACTGATTTCTAGAAGGAAATTCACTCCTTACTAAAGCTATTTATTGAGCCAGTATAGCTGGTTAACATTTCACTAGTATAAAGTAGCCCAGTGCAGGACTCTCAGATGTGAGCTGAAACTGTGTAAATAGATTGCAAGAGGCAAGGCCGAAGCCACACTGAAGCTGGCTGTCCCATCCTCCAGGTGTGAGGAGCACCCTGGTTTAGGCCAGGAATCCAGTCCCTTCTTTCCATACTGCAACTGAATAGCATTATACAAGGTACTCTGCTGCTTACCCATTTAACTACTCAAGTTGATTAGAAAAACTCTTGTTAAAAAACAGGAAAACGAAAGGCGCCGTGTTACCTCATCCAGGCTGCCCGCCCCAGCCCCTCAAAGGGAGGCATGCCAAGTGGAGGGACGGGTGGGGACACAGGTGGCTGTCCTCCGGGGCAGACAGCAGGAGGTGAGTAGATAGCCCATGGCAGGCCCAAACCTGGAGTGAGATGGGTCTGCACGGGTGGGCGGCAGGCATGGGGTGGAGGTGGGAAGTTGGGGTTACGGGTGGGTGAAGGCGGCGGATAGCTGGGCATGGGGGGTGGAATGGTGGGCAGGGGGAAGGAGGCTGGAAGGGGCAGGGGCGGGTTGGGGGTCGGTGTGGGGGTGGTAGCGAAGGTGAGCAGGCAGGCTGTAGGCAGGGGCAGGGGGCCATAGGAGGGCCTTGGTCTTCATTATGGATTGCAGTAGAGCCAGCAAACTTTGGACTGAGTCCACAGGAAACGATGAGCCAAATGAACCTCTCCTCTTTGAAGTTGTGGGTGTCCGGTATTGTGTCCCAGGCATGGGAAGTGGCTAAGGCCTCGGCTGCCTTGGCTCCCTCCTGACAGCAGGCCCAGCTCTCCTCATCCTCCTTCACCTTGAATCTTTTTGTTGTAATTGTTTTAAATATCCAGAAGTATAGATTATAACCTGATTGCCCTTTTAAATATACTTTTGTGGCATTTCAATACATGTATACAATGTATAAGGATAGGATCAGGGTAACTGACATACCCAGCACCTTGAAAATTTATTTCTTCTCTCTCTCCCTCTCTCTCTGTCTCTCTTTGAAGCAGGGTCTCACTATGCAGTTCAGGCTGGCCTTGAACTCAGCAATCCTCCTGCCCCAGCTTTCCATATACTGGGATTACAGGTATGCGCCACCACACTAGGGTAAGATTTATTATTATTATTATTATTATTTGGTACTGGGGATCGAACTCTGGACCTTGCATTTGTGAGGCAGGCGGCGGCACCACTGAGCTAAATCCCCAGCCCTAAGATTTATTATTTCTTAACAAAACATAAAAAATACTCTCCACTAGAAATTTTGAAATACACATTAAACCATTGTCCATCATAGTTCCCTCACTGTGCTATTGTACTTTGAAAGGATTCCTCCTATCTAACTGCAGACCCAGACCCATCAATCACCCTCTCCATCTCTCTCTTTCCCATACCCTCCTCAGCCATTGATAATTACTACTCTATTCTCTACTTCTTTGTGATCCGCTTTTTTTGGCTTCTGTGAGTCAGTGAGAATATCTGGCATTTGTCTTTCTGTGCCTGACTTATTTCACACACCATAGTGTCCTCCAGACTCACCCATCATGCTGCAAATGGTAGAATTCCATGGTTGTTACAGCTGAGTAATATATTCCATTGTGTGTACATGCCATGTTTGCTTTACCCCTTCCTGCCTCCTCCCTGGGGTCCTGCTCACACCTTGCCCTTGCCTGGGGTCTCAGCTGCCTTCTTCCACATCTCCAGCCAGTCCCTGGAGAGTCAGGCTAGGGGAGGAGAAAGATCAGGGCAACCCAGCCTGTTACCGTGCTTGTGCTGCTTGCACCTGCTATATAAGCTGGTATCTAACCTGCCCAGCCCGGCAGACATAGGTCACACCACCTCAGGCCTGACTATTGCACTGGAATTGGGCCCATAACCTTGGGATGGACCCTAGCTCTGCCCATGACTCTGAGATTGAACCTCATGATACTGGGATTCACAGCCCTACCACTGACCCTGGGATTGGCCCTGACTGTGCCCATAACCCTGAGATTAACCTTAAGCCTTACTCATGATACATGATATTGGGATTGGGATTCACCCCAGCCTTAACAATCACCTCTAGGACGCCAAGGTTTTCCCAAGACCCTGGAATTCTTTCCCATGTTCACCTATGACTCTAGGATTGTTGCATATCTTACCTATGACCCTGGTATCATTCCCCAGTTCTTCTAATGATCCCAGGACCCCCAGTATGTGTTGTTCTGATGCCCATGGAGCCTAGTATGTTAGCTTTTCATTGCTATGACATAATACCTGAGAAAAAAAAAGAAGAAAAGTTTATTTTGGCTCATAGTTTCAGATCATAGTCACTTGGCTCTGTTATCTCTAGGCTTGTGGTGAAGCAGAATATCATGGCAGAAAGATATGGCAGAGTAGAGCTGCCCGCCTCATGGTGGACAGAAGTGGGGGAGGCACCCAGGACATAATATAGCCCTCAAGGGCAAGCTCCAAGGACCCACCCTCCACAGTTAGGTCCCATTTCCTAAGTTTTCATTACTTCCCAGTAGCTCATCAAATTATGAATCCACCTGTTTTGAAAATGTCCCAGAGATGTAAAAGATATCTGCCTCCAAACTGAGAAGGCACTAATAGTCTGAAGACTGGAACAAATCCAGCTTGGTAAGTAACTGAGTTTATCGGGGTTTACTTACAGAGTGGTAGACAATTTGCAAGCTGCAGCACCACCAAAACCCCCCACCCAGGCTAGGCTACTAGTTTTATAGGGCACTGATTAAAACAGCAAAATTAAGCTGGGTGCTGTGGCACACACCTGTAATCTCAGCACTCGGGAGGCTGAGGCAGGAGGATCACTAGAGTTTGAGGCCAGCCTGGACTACATAGTAAGTTCAAGGCCAGCCTAAACTACATAGTGAGATTCTGTCTCAAAAAACCCAAACCCCAAAACACTCCCACCAAATGGCAAACTCAAGCCAGGAATGGTGGCATATGTTTGCAATCCCAGCACGCAGAAGGCTGAGGAAGAAGGATCATAGTGAGTTCAGGGCTAGTCTGGACACCATAGTGAGACCCTGTCTCAAACAAAACACCAAAAATCAGAATCGAAAGCAAAAAAGGTCCTTGGGAAAAGTGTGTACTCCACCCCCATCTCACTCCTCTCAGGAAACTCTGCTGTTCTCATCAAGCACTGTCCAGCCATGATGGGGTCCGGGGCTTCACTAGATGGGGTTACTTTGGCTACGGTTCAGAGGACAATTCTCATTACACCATCAATGGACACATCCAAGGTTGAGGCCTGCTAAGTTCAAAGACAGGCATTGGAGCTGGAGAGCAAGAGGGACCCTGGAGGGATCCGGCCTGGAAACCCCCTTCCATCAGACTGCTGGAGGTCTGGACTGTGCGGAAATACATTTCTGTTGTCTTAGGCACTCAGTCTGTAGTCATTTGGCAGAGTAGCCCCAGATGACTAAAACAAGATGACATCGTGAACATCAGTGGGACATGTGCTGAGCTCCTAGGCGGGTCCTGGGTGGAGCTGAGCCTTCACACTTTTCCTCTGGATTTGGCTGAAGCCTAAGCCAACTCCCACAAACACAACTCCTGGGCACAGAGGTCCTGAGCTCCCCATATTCTGGGGACCTGGGCCCCACCCCAAGGGTTTCTCCTGCCCTGGCCCTGGAATCTCAGTATCCACAACACCCACCTTTTAATGGGCACCCTCAAAATGTCTGCTGTGCCTGGCATTGTGCCAGTGACAGGACACACACGTGCTCCACTTGGCTCCTGGGCATTGTGACAACCTCCA